TCATTATATTAATCACAAAATTAAAATGTAAGCACAAGCCAGCAGGAGTAAAAGAGCAAATTCATAAAAGAAAAAAAAAAGTGGCATAAAAACCCCCCACAGTGATCAAGACTTGACCTTGGGGAATTTATATATTGGATTAAGAGGTCCGGAGCCAAATAGAACACCAAATTTAAGTCTTGTGCTTTTATAAACCATGCCAAATGTATGCCCTTGTCATTTCATCATATAAATTAAGCATGTGCTTTTAAACACCAGTAACTATCTTAGAATAAACTTTTCAACGAGACTTTCTCAAGGCCTGTGTTTTGCTGAACATTGTGCTAGGGGCTTGGAGAAGATGATTAGATATTCATGGCCTCAAAGGGCCTACAGTCTAGTTGTGGATAATGAAGACTAACATAGTTAAAATCAGAGCAAAAGGACCCCGCAGCATCTACTTCTGTGCTGTGCTGGATGGAATATTCAGCACTATTTTTCAGAGTTAGAATAAGAGAGATTAGAAGCTGCAGTGAAGGTGGAATCAGTTTTGACAGAACAGTGTAAATCTCAAGAGCACAGGCTCTGATGTCTGACACCTGAGGGTGAATCCCTGCTCAGCCAATGGCAGTTATATGGACTCAGGGAAAGTTGGCTGACCTCTCTGAGCCTCAGTTTCCTCACCTGCCAAATGGTGGTATGGGCAGTACCCTGAGATGCTCTCTGTGAAGACTGGGTGAGTTAATGTTCCACTTTCAATAAACAACAGTTATTTTTATCATTACCAAACCACCACCACCTTCATTACCAGGCTTTGGAGGACGAGAAGGCGTTAAGAATGGGCACAGAATGAAGCCAGCATTCCAGATAAAGGAAAGGCAAAAGGAGTGAAGGTCTGGAGATGGGAAAGAGCCAATGTTTTGCTTCTAGGCTAGGGAGGACTAGCTAGACCAGAATAGAGAGCAGTTCTTCAGATGTGCAGGGAGAGGAGGTTGGATATAGAGGGTAGGACCAGATGATGGGGAGAATCTCTTGTAACCCCCATAGAACCCTGTACCTTAATTCTGGGAAGATAATGTGCCTTGAAAAGTGCTGGAGAGTAGTATCAGTTTGTTGACTACTGGAGCAACAAGAGGCTCAAAAATTATTTGCTAATTGAGGGGGTTGCAACATAGGAAATAAAGATGAATCTTCCTTCTGTCTTTGCAGCCCATTCAGCATCTTTATTATAAAGGCTGCAAAACATAAGTAAAAACCCATAACAATTAGGCTTGAACTATTTCTCAGAGTTGAGTCTCCCCAGTGTTTCTGTAGACTCTAAATAGCTTATCCCTTTTTTTCTTTGCAGACCCCACTCGTGTTATCGTCAACCAATGGTCATAATAGGACAGGGGAAGCCAGGTTTTAACTGTGAGGGAAAATAGATCAGTGAAAGTTGTTCATTTCAAGGAGTAAACATTTTTTGTTTCTGTAAGAGAGAAGAGATCAAGGCCATGAAAAGAAAAATAGTCTGAATCAGGAAGTAGATTGGAGAATAAGCATTAGCTCTATAAGGAGACTCTGGGGCTTTTCAATATTTAGGATACTAGTATTTATCTTCTTTATTCCCCAATGGGATATGTTTTTAAATCTAAGGATAGGATTAATTATCTTAGGAGAATCTAATCTCTCCCTTCATGTTTTAAACTGCAGGCAGGGAGATGTTTTAAACATTATGAAAAGAAGAGAAAATCTCTCCTGACAAATAAATGCCTTGAAAAATTAGATATTAGTACTAGTCAAGTGTTCTTTCTTTTCAGAAGTATTAAAATTGCATATTAGAATGGAAGGAGCCTTATACTATACTTCCTCCTAATGCCACAAAAAATAAGACTTTAGGAACAATTTTCGAGACAAAAGATTATATGAAACATCCAGTTCTTCCCCTTATGGGAAATTTCTTTTTTTTTTTTTTCTTTAACATCCCAGGCTCAATCATTTCCTAATGTGAAATTACAGATTTTTCAAATTACCATATAAAACTGCGAAAAAATTACACTTGTGACCACAGAAGAGATAGCATACACTATCAATTTGATTTTAAAAGGCATACATCTTTTATACTACCTGTCATTTTTATAATGCCTTTTACAAATTTAATCAATACATTTTAACATTCTATATACTTTAAGTGCAATATACAATAAATATTCAAGTTTCATCTTAAACATGCTTTAGCCTTTAAATTGTTAAAACTGCAGTGCCCTTTCAATCTACTTACATAATGTCATAAAATATACATTTCAAGGTAAATGAAGTCAGCTACTTCAATTTAGTCCCTCAAACTGGTAGTAAATGAGAGGTTAACACTATGGTGCCAAACCCATTATTGAGTAAATTTAGCACCTTGGACAGCTCTGTAAAATCTTTATTGCTTTCCTGACCTGCTCGTCATGTTCTGTCTGTGTGTTCAGTGGCTCTCAGCTCTGATTGAAAGGCAATATATTAGATCCCCAACACAAACACGCTTGGGGGCTAGTTCACTGGGAGCATAATGACATGGAGGTGAGAGCAATTTTCTGGTCACCAAAATCCAAGCACCTTGCAGGTCCATTGCACTAACTCATAGAGGACCCAGAAATTTCCTTTCTCCTTCCCATTTGCAGAAATAACTAATAGAAGCTGAATCACAATGGCAGAGCTGAACCAAATGTGGGCTCTCCCTTAAATCCCAAAGTCCATACTGCAGTGAAGGACATTTTAAAATGGGCAAGGTATCATTTAAGGAAATCACTTTCAGGGCAAGAAATCCAGGTTCGCTGTCTACAAGACTGCTGGTCTGAAGTGCTGCAGGGTTGATGACCCACCTATGGCAGTGTGCCTACTGGGAAAGCATAACCCAGCTCCGTGGATAGAAGAAGGATGTAACTTCATAAAGCAAGATTCACATGTTTCATTTTCAGAGGATTAAATGGTGATGAGAGCTCTGGGTATTGAATAAGCAGAAAAAGAAACAATTGGATTATGTCACTGAAAAACCTTTATAGTCAAAAATATATGAGAGTAAACTGTATAGCATACACGAGTAGCTGAAATTTTTTCAGGTTTATAAAAACTTCAAAGATCTTGGAGTTTATTTTGAACTTCCCTCCTCCCTGGTTCTGTGTAATTAATTAAAATAAGCACTGGTCTGAGTCCTCAATGATAGTGTTCCAAGATTGAAATTCACAAGTGCAGTTTCCAACTGTACCTCATCTTGTTTTTTCCCTAAAATGAAAAGAAAGAAAAATACCTTCTCTGCCAAATCCAAACACTGGCATAAATATTTATTTGAAGAAATAAATGAACATAGACCCAGAGAAGTCAAATCTTAATAAATAAACTAACTTGATCCTGTTTTGTTTTAATCTTTCCTAAGCGCCATGAGGTTTTAGTGAAAGCAGCACGGACCGAATTTGATATGGGGATAGGGTTTAGTGTGCCCATACTGTAGTAAATTATTAACTGGTGTGGTCAGACAATACGGCAAACAAAAAGTGGTAAATTATCTTGTAGCTTGCATTAAGGAAAAAAAATAAGTTATTTCGGATGTATTGATTCAAACCTCATTGATTATATAATGCTTTTCGTTCCTTGTATAAAAAATAACTGAACTGTTTTACAAACGGGGTCTAGCAGCTTAAGGCTCAATAAATGTTTATTGAGAAGTGAAAACCCCTCTATCTCATTTTTGAATTTAGGACATTATATATGTCATAAGTAGTTACTGCAGTGTGACAACTATTTTATCTTATATTACAGAAAATTTAAAATTGAAAAATGTTAATATGTATCTAAAAGCTTGTCACTTCAAGAGTTGTTCAAGGATTTTTGAAGAGGCTATGGTGACAGCAAAATGAATGTAATTATATCCCTATTTTCTGATCAGCATCTACAGTATACGAAAATCGAATAGCACGGCTTCTCCATGAAGAAATCTATTGTGTGAAATATTTAAAGTTTAACTTCTTGAAACTTTACCCACAGGAAAAAAAAAAGTAAACATATCTTCTTGCAAATCACCTCTGATAATCATGCCTGTATGTTTGGTTCTCTGATTAGCCTCCATTTTACAAGCCTAACTTTCCTCTTCATACTCCAGTTTAAATGAATATGAAGAAAATTAGGTCAGAATGAAGACAGAGTGACTTCTTTTGGTTGAATGAAAAAAATTACCACCACACACACTTTTGTAGAGTGTGCTATTAGAAACAAGCATACAAGCTAAATACAGAAGCCTACCTAAATGAAAAGAGGGAAACATTTTTCTTCAACTAGAATGAAAAGCAGAGCATATATCTAGGATGAGAATGAATGAGCAAATGGGGAAAATGACAAACAATACTGAAATAGCAAAGAATTGCTGTAAAAGAAACAGACTGTGCCAGTCATGAAAATTGGTGCAGAGGGAGCTTCCGGGGGCAGGAGAATCCTTCTGTAAGAGCCTCTGACAAACAGTGCATTGCCCCAGAATGTGAGTTTACTCCATCACTCCCTTATGTCATGGCTCTACCACACAAGGGAGATAAACAAAAGAAGTTTAATGCTACATGCTTCTAGTAGCCAAAGATTGATTGGAAATCCCTCGAAAATGACCTGTCTGATAAGGTCATGGTTCCTGGAATAAGCAATTAAGTACTAAATAAACACATCTTAGGGATTCATAACATGCACTGAATGACATCGATTGTAGTAATCTAGTAAATGACCTCGCAATTGTATTCAGCAATAAACATATGAGTGCTTTATCGTGCCTATGGCAGACTATTGAGTGATGTATTTTATCCTGCAGTACCAATGATGCTCACCTTTTGACTCAATTAAGTGTGTATGTGAACAGGGATTAATTGGTGATTTAACAGCATTCTGGGGTTTCCCAAGCTACTGCCTTTAAAACAGTGTGTTGACAAAGTATGGCCAGAGGGGACTATGACGTGGTCCTGTGAAGAGATGAGGACAAGTGGCCTTCACTCAGACGACTGTATCTGCTTTTCTCTTGACAGGAAGTAATACTCAAAAGGGCTGCAGACCTGGTGGAAGCGCTGTATGGGATGCCACACAACAACCAGGTGAGCGCGACTGTTGAAGATTCCTTATTGTGTTGAAAAAGGGCGAAAAACACAAAACCACTTGCATGAGTTCCGTGTCATCCAGACATGAGACATAAGGCTATTCCGTTCTTTCTTATTCTGGAAATCTCTTATTACCTTTTCAATGGAATCATTTCCTTACGAGAATAGGTACTCCATTTAAAACAAATTTTCCATGGGAATGTACTTCATAATTGAGGAAGAGAGTTACCAGTGTTTTATTTTATTCCTCTCAGGTTTTCAAGCAGATTTAGGAGGAAAAGGGGGTTTAATTTCCTCTCCTAAAAAGAATGATAAGGCCTGACTATAATTGTCTGCTTCTATTCACAGAGCAGCTCCATGTATATGAGTCAAATTGCTCTAGAAACTAGGAGTCTGGGCGATCATTCACTCTTTTTTTGTGTGTGACTTGAATCAGTGTCAAGGAGACACAGTTCCACTAATACTCAGGGACACAGATAGTTATCTACAGCCTTCCCTTAGCTTTAGTAGGGGAGAGGAGTTGTAGCCTCTGTGTGTGTGTGTGTGTGTGTGTGTGTGTATGTACCACCAGAGTTCCTGTGTGTTATTGGCTGCCGGGTGGGGGTCGGGGGGACACCATGATGCTGTCACATGCGGGGTAGTAATATGGAAGGGTAGTAATATGGGGCTAAGACAATGGCCTTTCAAAGTCAGTCAAACAAGGTTATGAAGCCCAGCTCTATCCCTAATAGGTTAGTGTCCTTATGTGAGCTCTTGGCCTCTCTCTGAGCCTCAGTCCCCCATTTGCGATATGGGCCCATTATGATGAGCCTTCTTCCCAGGTTTGCTGAGAGGTTGCAGAAGGTAATGCAGTTAGAGCACTGGAAGCCCTGAGCACCAGGCCTGTCGTATAGTAAACACTGGGAAAAAATGGTTTTCCTGGGAGTATGACTAAGGGTAGCTAAATGGAGTATTGTTTTACTTTGCAGGAAATTATTCTGAAGAGGGCCGCTGACATCGCAGAGGCTCTGTACAGTGTCCCCCGCAACCACAGCCAGCTCCCGGCCCTCACCAACACCTCGGTCCACGCGGGAATGATGGGCGTGAATTCCTTCAGTGGACAACTGGCTGTGAATGTCTCGGAGGCGTCACAGGCCACCAATCAGGGTCAGGAGCCTGTTTCTCTCCCTCCCCATTTCCTTGCCCCTTCCCAACCTCGGAGTGCTCCCCACCCCCCACCCCTACCACTTATTTGGCATAAAACAATTTTTATTTAAAAACATCTTTTTCCGAAAGGGGAGATTCCTAGTTTCTGCGTATCAGATATTACTATAGAATTTGGGTTATAGCACTCGCAGCTGGCAGTCTGGTTCGGGGGCTAGAAAGGAGGCATGCATTTAGCCATCTCTCCATTTGACTTTTCACCATAAACCATGAATGACAGATCGCAAAGAGGGTTGGAATTAAAGTTCTGAGGGGCCAAAGCACATCATCCTCGCCCAGGGAATAGGAACCTGTTAACTCCAGGGTACATCTCTTAGATTGGGATTTATTTCTGCTCCAAAATGATAATTTATAGGCCCTGCATTGCCACTTCTCACGGCCCTGCTAAGTATTTATGATCTCCTAAGAAATGTGTGTTTTGCTCGCTTCCCATTTTAATCACAGAGCTAGCACTACCAACCCACACACATGAATCACCCAAGCCCTTCCCTCTGGGATGCGGCAGTGGGGCAAGAAACAGAGCCCTTCCTTTCCCGAGGCTCCCAGGATTGCCACCCTCATCCCGGTTTCGCCCCCACCCCTCAGGTTTCACCCGCAACTCAAGCAGCGTGTCACCACACGGGTACGTGCCGAGCACCACCCCCCAGCAGACCAACTATAACTCCGTCACCACGAGCATGAACGGGTACGGCACTGCCGCCATGTCCAACCTGGGCGGCTCTCCGACCTTCCTCAACGGCTCAGCTGCCAACTCGCCCTACGCCAGTAAGTAGACTTGTGTGTCCTGCACTTCTGCGCGTGTTGCTCGGTTAACTGGGCGTCACGCTGTGTGGCCCACTGTGTAGGTCTCCTCAGTCTGAGGACCCCCACCACTCAAGGGGGCCCCAGGCGATGCTGTGAAAGGTGCCGTTGTCTCTGCCCTCCCTTCCTCACCTTCCTCATCCCAAAGTCTCCCTCTTGGCCAGAACTGTGCTGCAACCTGAAGCAGTGGTGTGATGTCATCGCCAGGACCCAATCTTCAAGTCCCGTTGCAGAGGGGTTTGACTCCTGCTTCTACCAGTCACTGACCGGTGGCCAGGGGCAAGTTCTCTCCTCTCTAAGCCTCAGTTTTCGCATCTGCAAAGTGGGGAAGGAACTAACACCCATCCCGTACAGTTGTTGTGAGATAAAATCGTGCATGTGATGAGCTTGTCCTGATGCCTGGCCCACAAGAGGCATGTTCAGTAAACCTGAAGAATCATGATGATGGAATCATAATAATAAGTTATGCTGCTACTGCAGCATGGTCCCAATAGTGTAAAACTTAAAATCTCTCCCTTTAGGAATATGACTCCTTTTTTTTTTTTTTAAATGCTTGGAATTTTTCTCCTCTGTGCTTGATGTGTACTAAAAACAAATAACAACAACAGACCAAAAAAACAAAAACAAAAACAAAAACCACTTTATTTTTTCCAATAATTTGGCAAGATGAAAAAAAAAACACTCACACATGTACAAGAATTATTTTTTGGTGCCATGTCCTTCCTTGTCTTAAAGAAGTTGAGCTTAAAGAATGTTTTGGTGCAACATTTAGATTGTATCTAAAGAACCTCAGGGAACTGGCATCTTTACTTATAAAATGTCCTGGGCTGTGTTTCTACAGTCTCTTTATCTGCCTCTGACGATTTTTACATAGATAACCAAGTTTATCTTGGACAGTGTGGGTAACTCTTCTGTTTTGTAAAATGAGGCCAAACTCTTAGACATTTGTGGAATGATAGAAGATGTGTTGTTAAATGAAAGAATATTCATTATTTTTTAAAAACGAGTCTTGGCTAAAAAAAACACAAAAAACCTAAAAACCACGCTGTCTCTAATATTGGAAATGTGGAGCGTTCTAATCCTTTGAAAGAAAAAAGGTCATTCTTGGCTTTTGAGAGTGGTTATTTCTGAGAGTAATACTTAGAGCCTTTTACTTTCTGGGTGAATTTTTATGCTCTGTGTGTGCTAAATTTTATATTTCCACTTTATCTGTTTGGAATCAGCAGCTTTTTGAACATTTATAATTTCCCCAAATAATCTGCATACATTATGCCTGCCTACTCAAGAGTCCGTGTTTGGGACCAGTTTCACATTGGATTTTGATTCATCGAAAGGTTGTTTCTCATAGATCTATCATTTCGGTGTTCTCCCATCTACTCAATCAGAAAATGTTTCAATCATGACCTGAAAATTAAAAGGTGGCATTCTTAATTAAATCAATAAACTAATTGCTATATGGTAGCAATTCAATTTAGGGGCTTGGATTGCTGTCTTCCCAAGCCGGTGCAGACGCACAGCAACTTCAGCCTGAGATTGCATCTGTCGGACTGTGAAACTTCCAACATTTAATTTCCATTAATTGATTTCCTCAGTGCTCACAAATATAGTATTAAATTCTCAAATAGGCTCTCAGATGGGATGGTTTTATCTGCATAAATGCAAATAAAACAATAAACACAAAGCCCAGCTGATTTGAATTTTTGCTTCCATAATATTTAATTATTCATAAACCACTCATGTTGAAAAATTCCAAACAGAATAAAAAATAAAATAAGACATTTCACTGGTGAACACACTTTCTGGTGTGGTGGCTGATAACTAATAACGTTATAACAAATGGAGCTGCTTGACTATATTTCACCCTTTCCTCTGTTAACCACCCCCCTCAAACTCCCCACCTCTAAATACACATAATGATCGCATTTGCCAAGGAGATTAATTGCCTTCCTCAGTGAACCAGCAGGATTTCAAGTCTACGAATATTTAAAAATCAAACCTCCAGTGCAGGAGTTTTGCAATTTAAATGGGTGTTATTATTGAGCGTATTTTCACATTTACAAATCCTAAGAGATGTATAAAAATGCTGGCCTCATTAAAAGAAAAAGTACAGTTTAGAAAATGTTTGTGAAAACTCTGAGGATGGCGGCTCTGTGTTCTGCTCCGTAAAGCATTCCGTGCCTTTGGATTGTGTAGTGCCTAGGGCTGATTACAAGGGGTCATTTCCCCCTGATGGCAATTGCTGCCTATTTCCCATTTGATTCCCGCTTCCCTAACTTTCCACAGCCAAGAGGCCAAGGGAAGGCCAGCCACCTACACAGCATTTTAGACTCTCTGGGGGGCTCATGGGAAGGAGACCTTTTCCCCTGGTTATCTGTTTCCTTTGCAGGGTGGTGTAGTAGAAAGGACACTGAATTTGGTTTTGGTTCCTGGCTTCCCTGCATTCTAGCTATGGCCCTTGGGCATGTCACTAAACTATTTTCTGAGACTCAGCTTGGTTGGCTTGCTCAGGTATAAAAAGGATGTAATAGGCCCCATTTTAAGATTGCTTTGGCAGTGACATAAGATGAAAACGACATGAAGATTCTTGTGAATGATAAAGCAGTATGTAATGTTGATTACATAACGTGAAAAATAATACAGTAGAAGGAAGTACTTAGAATTTCAATGAAATGCCTGAAAATCACTGGGCAGGATTCATACTTGTCCCCAGGAGATGGAGGAAATAGAAGGTGAGTGTATGAAAATACTGGTCTTGAGTGGAGAGGACTCACTCTGTACCAAATCTGTCTCCTGAAGTAACCATGAGACTATTAGCAGCTAGCGAGATATGGATGGCCAGGCTGAAAGGACCGTGTTGGTAGAGAATGTGCATCTACCAAACTCATGTCTCCAAGCAACTAGGCTTTCTCCCTCTCTGAATTGCCAAAATTCTCCCATCATCGATAATCCACATTCCCACTACTACTAGACTGTGAGTATTTGCATAAAGCTCCTATCCTACTGCCTATTAATTCACAAGCATTCATGTACAGCTCCATGGGGGATAGAAAGAATTTGGAACTTTGACTTGTAGTTTTGCATTATCCACAAATGTTGCTTGTGGCAGTCTGTTTGTCCACATGGCCTTCCACCTACCCTTCTTCCTCACATCCCTCATTCCATTAGTGACCACACTGTCTCAGGCTGGCCTCCTCCTGCCTCTTATATCCCCAGCCACTTTGCTAGAACCTTAGTTCAGGCCCACCTGGAATGCTTCCCTTCACTCCTCTTCCATGAAGCTTTCTTTGGTTCTCTTCCCTGCCTCTGCAGAATTGGCAGGCTCACCTTTGTCATTATTTTGTGCTACTCTATCCCTAATGAGAGCACTTTTGTTTCCTGGCCTGGGATGCCCCAGTGCGTAGCACACTGCTCGGCACATAGTAGGCCCACAATAAATACATAAAAGACCACCAGCAATGAAAGGTAGCATGTGCCAAGTACTAAGTGATGAAATCAGACAAGATCCCAAGAGTTTGGGAAGGGTCATGCTGGAAGGGTGGCCTGAGCAGGGTGGCTGGGTGAAGGGCCTCATCTCAAGATGCCAGCAGAGGCTGATTTCTCCTTTCCCATCCCATCTTTTCCCACTCAGTCGTGCCATCCAGCCCCACCATGGCCTCCTCCACAAGCCTCCCCTCCAACTGCAGCAGCTCCTCGGGCATCTTCTCCTTCTCACCAGCCAACATGGTCTCAGCCGTGAAACAGAAGAGTGCTTTTGCACCAGTTGTCAGACCCCAGACCTCCCCGCCTCCCACCTGCACCAGCACCAACGGGAACAGCCTGCAAGGTAAGCCCCACCCACGCCAACAGAATGCCCTGACTTCACCCCCTTCCCCCAACCCCCCAGGGCTTGAAGCAGATGCGTCACTGGTGCAAGGGCATCAGCCTTGGGCCAGCCTGCTTCTCTCTGTCCTCCTTTCTTTTATTCCTTTGTGTTCACTGTCCTTGGCCCTGGGCCCTAGCCCCTAGCCCCACGCATCCCTCCTCTACTGGAGTTGCCTGAGCAGTCCTCTTTCAACTCCAGCAATTCTGCTCAGGCCCGGGATTTACTTGAGAATACTGTTTCCACTTACTAATGTCATCATTTCTCTTTTCTCCTCTTTCATTCCCTGTGGTCGCCATAATCAGACCAGTCTTTTGTGGACTCTAGCAAGTTCTCCACTGCAGGGTCTCTCCCGGGACTGGCATTCTCCTGAAGTAGGTCACTCAACCTTCCCTACCTGTTGACTGTGTCAGCGTGAACGTATGTGGGGCTGATCACGGGGAGTGGGTGAGCCATGGCCTGACCAGAACCCTGAGGTTAGAGCATTATAGACCAAAGGCCCAACACTGACTATTGGGAACCAGAACCCCCAAAATATGACTAGAGTATTCTGGGTCATATTAAAATTGTTCAATATTTGTCCCCATCACGGAATATGGAAAATAAGAATCACCAAGAATTGAGGTGACCTCTCTATTCATTGAGGGAAAAAAAACCACCCTTTTTAAAATGGGTCCACTGTGTCTTACATTTTTCTCATGTGCTGGTACCGTTGACCTGCACAAGCTCATTCATCCCTCACAGCAGGAGCGTGTGTTGGGCATTCAAAGCCCCTATGTTATGGATGAGAAAACTCGAGGTTAGGGAAATTATGAAATTGCTTGATTTCTGGCAGTAGTGTGTGGCCAAAGCTGGCTTCAAACTCAGGCTCAAAAATTCATCTCCTCTTTCTTTCTCCCAAGCACTTTATTACTCAGAGGTGGGTAAAAAGGATGCATCCAGGATTCCTAAGGCATCTGGCAGGGAAATAAGATCAATAAAATAATCAGCTGCCATTTATTTAGCACTGAACCGTGTTTCAGGCGCTGTGCTAAGCACTGAGCACGCTTTATCTTACTTAATCCTAACAACTTCCTAGTGAAATATGAGGATATTATGATCTCCATTGTATGGATGATAAAACTGAAGTTTAAGGAGAGTAAACACCTGCCTAAAGGCACAGCCCGTAAATGGTGGAGATGAATATAAACCCCAGCAGAGTCTGCACCCCTAACCCCCACACAGCTCCCCACAGTGCCTTCCTTCATTGGTTGTCATGCCATCTTCACTGATGGAGGTCAGCCATGGGGGTCGAGAGGGGTCAGGAGGGTGGCATACCCATCTGGGATTTCTCAGCTCTGTTTCTTACACACACACACACACACACACACACACACACATATTATGTGTATGTATATTATGTATATGTATATTGTTTATGTTATTTGTACAGAGTATACATGTACTCGGTACTGGATGCTTTGCATTGATATAATCTTATATTGATTCTTTCAAAGAAACTATGAAGTCAGTACTATTCCCTTTATATAGATGGGTAAATTCAGGCCCAGTTTGCTCAAGGTCACACGGCTATAAATAATAGAGCCGAAATTGAACCCAAACTGTGTGACTCCAGAACCTGAGCTTTCTTTTTTTTTTTTTATTTAAAAAAAAATTTTTTTTTAACGTTTTTATTTATTTATTTTTTTGGGACAGAGAGAGACAGAGCATGAATGGGGGAGGGGCAGAGAGAGAGGGAGACACAGAATCAGAAACAGGCTCCAGGCTCTGAGCCATCAGCCCAGAGCCCGACGCGGGGCTTGAACTCACGGACCACGAGATCGTGACCTGGCTGAAGTCGGACGCTTAACCGACTGCGCCACCCAGGCGCCCCAGAACCTGAGCTTTCTAATTACTCTGCCTTTCAGACTCCATACAGGCTCTGCTAAACATTCTTCAGAAACCTACTGTCAAAGCTGCCCAGCACAGCCAAAGTCATGCCCAGTAAAACATGCTTGTGTCCCTCCCTTGAACATGCATTGGCAAAGCCATTTTCCAGGGCAGAGGAAAAGAATCTGACAATGGAACTACATTTCAGACAGTATTATTCACAATGCGTCGTGCCCACCCCTACAAAGGGGAGCTACCCATTCATACAAATCTGACTCTTTTCAGCTAAAAAGAATGCTTTGTCACCCTCAGTACACCTCCGGCTGGCAAACTAAGGATGTAATGCCTAAGTATAACTTCTAGTTTAAATAAGGATAAAATATATGGAAAGCAGAAATCTGCCATTCTTGAGTTGCTTATCACCACCCTCGTTAAACATAGATTTGATATCAAAATAAGGTAGAATGGGGTTTGTAATCAGGAGCTGACAGGTGGTGCTTGAGAAGAAAAGGCCCATAGCTCTTGGAGGGTCAGTAGCTGTATTACTGGCCAGCGGTGACATAAGCAGGTAGCCCTTAGGCAAGGCCAGGTCTCTTCTTGCTGTGTAGACCAAGCAGGGAGCAGTAAGGGACTCAGCCCAAACTGCAGAATGTCCTGGATTTAGGGGACATCTCTCTGCTAGTGTGTGTGCGCGTGTGTGTGTGTGTGTGCCCGCATGCATGTGTGCATGCACCTACACACACGCACACGTGCATGCACAGGTGCTCTTAAGTAACAATGAAATGGCTTCAAAACAAGGACTCATACAGAGTTTGTTCATTTGTTATCCAGGGCATTTCTAACCCATGTCTTCACAGGCTCCAAGAGTGCAGAGACCATTCTCCCCTGTTCTGATAAGTGGCTGAATCACCATCTCTCTGTCACATTTCTCACTTATGGCTGCACAGTGGGGAGGGTTCGAGGTGAAATTCAGGGCCACACTCTGTGCTGGATTTGCTGTGGTGGACGACATTGCCCTTTCCTTCTAATTCAGCATGTGTCCAGGGGTTTCTTTCTGCTGTTTTTTTTTTTTTCCCAACACAGTCATGTACCAAACATCCCTACCTTTGAGGGATGCCAGGGGAGGAGGTATGAGTAGAGAGATTCAAGTCAAATTAACTGACACCATTTTCCTCTAAGCTGTCCTGTCCCTCTTCCTGCCCACTCCACTCCCAGCCACCGTGCTCACCAGGGCCCCCATGCCTGGAATTGCGCCTTGGCCCTCTGTACCCAATGCCTGTGGCCTGAGGTGCGCTGTGCCACTGTTTCCCGGGAGCTCCTGCCTGAGGTCTCGGAGTCTCCCCTGACAAAAGGGACGCTGGGACGTGGGCTCCTACACCTGTAACTGGAGAATGACCTCATCGTTAGCTTTCTAAACTCTGCTGGTCTGTAGAGAAAGGGCATAGACGGGTTACAGAAAGGGGGTGGTGAGAGCCTCTGAAGTGTGACCTTCCTCCTTCTCCTTTTCATTGTTATAGTAATTTCACGTGGGCCCTCCTAGTTCAGAACTGTGATCATTAAGACAGGGCAAGTGATGAAAGAAGTGTTGATTAAGCAAATTGACCATATAAACAAGATCAGAGGTGACATGTTTAGGCTGTTGAGGGTTTTAAAGACCTGTGTACCCCCAGCTACCACTCTACTAATTGTATTGTTTGTTTGTTTGTTTTGCCAACTCCTTAAAGGCCTTTTTCTCAGCAGCCCTGTCATGGCCTCCTCTAGTGACTGCGTGTATGTTTATTCCCCAACGAACATGCACTGCAATCTCCCATGATGGTGATGACAATGGTCACAGCCGCTGGCATGGGAGGGCTTGTTCCCAGCCCGGCTTCTGCATTATATCATGTATTCTTCCCAACCATCCTTGATGTAGGCTGCTCCTTGTCCTCCTTCTACAGATGCAGAAACCAAGCCTTAGAGCCAAGATGGCTCATCCAGAGGCACACAGCTAGCAAATTGGAAGAGCCTGGGGTCAAAAGCCCGGCAGACTGATTACTGTGTAAGCCCCTATGCTATGTGGCCACACTAAAGTCAAGCCACTGGGTGAGGTCCATGTGGACTGCAGAATCCTGACCTTAAAATCTTTCCCTGGGGTAAAGGAAACATAACACCACAGTAAAGCAGGCAGGTCTGTCTGGGAGAGGCTGGGCACCCACCTGTGGAAATTCAGAGGAGGGGAAGATTAGGGGGAATTCAGAAGAGCCTCACAGAGAAGGGTGCCGTTGAACTGGACCTTGGAGATAGGGCAAGGGGGACTCAGACAGAGGGAGATGGGGAGGGGGCATCATATCAAGCAGAGGATTAAAGATAACTGGAACCAAAGAGTAATGTACAGTAACCCGCAAGCCACTCGGCATCCCGGGGCACAGGGGCCAAGAAGTGGGGATAAGGTTAAGCAAGGAAGTCATAAACTCCATTCTTTACAAAGATTTTATGATTCAAAGTTCCTACTGCGATTCCAACTGGCTTTCTTTACCAGGTAGATAAAACCTTGGACAAATTACCATATGTCTGAGAAACTTTTTTAGGATAAAGCAAATCTTATCTCAGCACTTCTGGAGTCTCAGAAGATATACTATTAAAAAAATGTAAGTGTTGTGGTCAAACAAATCTAGGAAGTGGTGCTTACTGAATCCCTGTCTTGGAGAGACACAGTGTACCTAAGTTTATTAAAAGCTCTGAGGCATCCTGCAGTTAAACAAACAAACAAACAAACAAAAAAAAACAAAACAAATAAAAAGTCTTCTATGTAGTTCTTTAAACTTATTTGCCCAGAGAACCCTTTTCCAAATGTGAAGACCAATTAACATCCCATGGAAAACTTTGGAAAATGTGGCTGTATTTTGGATTTAAAAAGAAAATGCAGAGAAATCTTCTCCGTTTGTGTCTAGGTAAAGTCGTTGATGAATACTGATCCTGGCTCCCCAGGTGTGTCTGTTTTCATAGGTCAAGGGTTCGAGTGACCCACTGTGCCCAGCCATTGTCCTGGAGAGGTCCTCTCCCTTCTCCTAAGGCTTATGCTCCCTAGAGCATGGCTACTATGCAATTTCAGGCGTCAGAGGACTTCATTAATCAAGAGAGAGGCAGCCCCAAGGAGGCTGTCACCATGCGATTGGACCTCCCCCCAGGGTAGTGATTTTAAACCCTAACCATGTCCTGGACAGTCTCTGCAGTGAAAAATTAAAAACAAAAGACCAGAGTGATTTCACAAAAATTATACCCATGCACTGAATTTTTTCTTTCCTCACCTTATTATAGCTCAGGGTGGCTGGCCCTACCTGACTCTAGATATCTTGCAGTCCCACAGCGATCGTGTGGAGTTGTCTTTTGCGCCGTGTACATGCTCAATTTGTGCAAGATATTCCCCCTATTCTGTTCCTGATTAGCTCATAATTCCTACACATGTGGTGGTTCGAGGAAGACCACATTCCACCCTCACTCCAAATTCTCCCAGCTCTGCAAAACTTTTCATTTTGTCTTTGTTCTTACCAAAATGTGAAAACCCTAATGAAAAATGCATGGCCTTTCAAACCAATAGTTTTCTGAGCTTCTGTCAGAGAACATGATCACCCTGCCGCCGGGGAAAATGGCAGAGCCACCTCGGTCTGATGATGTCCTGTGAAGTTTGGCATGTGTTACTCTCTGACAGTGTTGTGTCTTTGTGGAAATCTTCATGGGCCCCACTTGGGCGAGTCAGTGTGCCAACGGCTTTTCTGGAACATTCCAAGCCTCAAACACCCATCCCTCTCACCCACGTAAGTAATCTTGAGGGTTGAAGCACAGATACAGGAAAAACAGCTCCTATAAACCCAGGAGCTTCCCTGCAGTCATGCAGTGGGATTACTTTATAAAAAGGTCTCTTCACAGGTATAGCGGCTTACAGACTACAAACAGCGATCTTGTCCTAAAATGTATTCATCAAGAAGTGTTCTGCATCTGGAGTTTAGGAAGTCACAGAAGAGATGTAGGGAGCTGTGACCCCAGTGTTCTATGCAGAGTGTTGGGTGCAGGTACATACGGGTCTTCTTCTGGAGAGAGATTCCGTGGTGTCTGCTAGGCTCTACGAGAAGTCTGAGGGCCAACAAAGGCACGGTAGGAAGGTATGGACAGGCCAAAGCCTCCCCCTAGATACCCTCCAATATGTCTGTTTGTTTTTAATTTTAACTGTTCGCTAACATGTATAAACTGGGCTGTTTTGTATTTTAAAACATTCAGATCTCCATCTTCTCTTGAAAGAATTCAGAAAAGCTGGTGGTTGTGAGCAGGCATTTCTGCACAGCCGTGTTGGGGGAGCCCGCTCTAAAGAAGGCATGCCCTTGGCAGAGTCGCTTTGATCCCTACCAGGGCACATCGCTCACTTATGTTCCCAGTCTGGGCTCCCAGGGCATTGGAGTCTGCACCCTCTGTCATCCAGATTAAGAAGCACTGTTAGCTATGGACTAGCACATCAGTTAGCTTTGCTTTATAACTTTTAATGGGGCCCTAGATTGCTAGATCTTTTTTATTTTTTATTTTTTTTGTTTTTGTCCTTCTGGCCATCCAGAATTAAAAAAAAAATCCTGATGTTTTCAGGGCCCAATTAATAAACTTAATAAATGTTGGCCAGACCCACTGACCAAATCAGCAGGAAGTTTGTCAGTTGTCTGCTTTGCTTTGCATCGTATTGACACTGCCTGAGCTACCCGGCTGGCTGTCCAATAGGGCACTGCCCTTTAATGCCAGGCACACAAAGTAGATTTTGGTGGAAGGCAAAAGTAAGATTTGCTTCTCTTGCCAGAGGCTTAGAACTCCCACAGAAAGACCTGTCTTTAATAAGGGTGCCGGAACTCACCTCCAGCCTAGATGAAAGATCCTTAGGGAGGCAGAGCCGGGCTGAGCTGTCACAGTGCAAAGAGCCCCTGCCCCCTTGCCTTTGGAGCTATAGCATCTTGGAGTTTCAAGTTAAGGCTTGGGTTGAAAATCTGAGCTCCCCATTTCAGTCAGATCTAAGGCTCACTTGAATCTTAGGGGGACTGCTTTTCCAACTGATCTCGAATCTTTGGGGGTTTAAGTTGGCCTGCATTTGGCAAGAGACACTTCCTGTTTCTAAGAAAAATGGCTTATGAGGGCTTACGAAAAGACTCCAGGAGCTTTTGGACTGCAGAACGGCTCTTGCAAAACAACATTTGGATGATTTACGTGTATATGAATCAGAAACATGTGGATTAAATTTCCCTGTGAATACAGATGGGTTTAAAAATTAACGGAAAAAGTGTTTGGCAAAATACATTTTTTAATTGAATTTAAAATGTTGGGGGTGGGGGAGGGGAAACAAGAGGGGTGTGGGGACTGCAGGGCTCAGAGGCTCACCTAGCCTCCCCGTGTCTGCAGCAGGATTTGTAGTAGTTGGGTTTGCTTTAAAAAAGACACATTCTTTTGGACATGAGAGTTGGGACACGAAGAGAGCCACTTCCTAGACTCAGTCATCACTGACAAGGACATCAATTTAAATTTAGAGTTGCCAACAAAACGAAAGCAATGACTTTCTCTCTCATCTTTGGAAGCAAAAGATGGCTGCCTCTTGCTTCTAATGGACACATCGCTCTTACCCCAAAATATTTCAAAGTTGCCATACTGTTTTAACTTTCTTATAGACATCCCTTCATTCCTCATGCTCAGCATATGAAGTATGCTGCATGGGGTGGTGCCTTTTTGATGTAAGAAGAAACACAGACCAGAGATGTTAAACAATTAGCATGAGGTCACACAGCTAGTTTGGCAGCAGAAGGGATGGGTTAAAAGTAATAGCAGCTAACCTCTATGAGGTCTTTACTGGAGCTGACGCCGGGCCAAGCACCACACATATGTTATTTTATTTAAATCTCCAACAACCCTAAAAATATCACTGCCCTTACAAATACCGTTAACTGCATTTTCTAGCTGAGGAAGCAGAGGTTCAAGGAAACAAGTAACTACCTCTGGGAGACATACTCAGAAAGCAGGAAAGCCAGAGGTGGAACAGTGGTCTGTCGGATTCCGTGCTTTTCTAAATACCACTGTGTGCGGGCTTCTAACTCAGAGCACTTCCAAAGATTTTTTGATTACCCCAAACTGATTTCATTTCCCCCAGGATCTCACCCCAGCTTTCCTAGGCTATAATTTTCTAAGAACGTGGTCAGACCATTCCAGAACCTTGAGTGCAGCAGTAGTATAGGAGACATCCTGCAGGTTCATGCAAACCTGCCTTCCCCTCCTTTTCCACGTTTTCTCCCAGCTTCATATTCCCCAGAACAAGGCCTGAGGTGGCTGGCATTTCCTTCTCCCCGGTATGAGGGATGAAATATAGGCATTCAGATTGCTGTTCTAGTATTCAGTCTTCGCAAATAGCACAGAGCCGTGGGATGAACTAGTTTTTTATTTTATATTACGGAAGTCACAGGGAGGGGCAAAAAGAGGGACACACTGGAAATTCTCACTAGTTTGCAAGGTTTGGGGCTGCAACTTTCCCAGCGATACTCAAACTCTGCAACTTTCCAGTTATATTTTAAGATTGAAATCAGATTTGGAGGGATGTTTAGCATCTTCTGTTACATTAAAGACACATACACAGGCTGACTTATCATTTTTAATAAAGTACATGTATATTTTATAACAAAAACTCATTCCAGGGGAGATGAGAGCACATTTGTGACTAATATTCAACCAACATAGTGGTGTGTGGGTGTTTTTTCCCATCTTTTTTTTTTCCTCAGTGAGAATTTTGGATGCAAAACCACTGACTTTTGTCTTCTTTTTCCACAGCGATATCTGGCATGATCGTTCCTCCCATGTGAAAGAATTGCCTTGAAGAATTTTATTAATGAAGAGGTTGGATTCTGCTACAGAGAGTAATCTGATACAAGTCCCCGAGTGGAACTTTTAACTCAGGCCTTTTTAAGAGGAATCACAATAACTGCAGATTTTTAAACAAACAATATCACCGACCTTGCAAATACTGAAATTGGAAGGGTTCTGCAAGTGCAGTGTTGGTTAAAAGTTGTACCTCCCAAGTATTTGGGGGATATATTTATTCTGTGTTGATAAAAGCAAATCCACTTTTTCATTTTCTTTCTTTTTTTTTTTAAGCTTAACTCTGCAATCATTTGTCTTTTATAAACCGTAAAGCTGTATACAAGGGACACTATAAATAAGACTCCATGTTTTAATTTATGATGTTTTTAAAGCTGTGTAAAGGGAGAATGAAGTGGTGATATTTACAAAAAAGTAAAAAAAAAAAAAAGAAAAGAAGAAAAAAAAAAAAAAAAGCTTGTATGGGACAGAATAGGAATGCCAGTTAGATTTTTTAGAAAACTAAGGGTCGGCTTTTGCGCCTTAAAGCATATCAAATGGTAGTTAGCTCAGACAGTGCATTTTCAATATCTAACTTAACATGCCATCCCTTAGCAGTGCAAGCTTATTTATCTCTTTTGTATTGTTGTCTTAAGTAACTGTGTAAATAAATGCAGCCTGGAAAGTTAAAAAGTGATGTAAGTGATCACATTTTTCCCTTCTACTCAAAAATCCAGTGCCTCTAGACAGATTGTTAAAACTGCATATTTAAACCTGATATAATTCTCTCTTTTACTTATGTCAACTTCTTCGGAAGCCAATGGCCTCTGGAGAGCTTGATGGCACACATACTGTGTGAGAATCCCCTATGAGACTGCACGGAACAGGGTCCAGGCACAGAATTAGAATTCCACATTTTGCCCTCCAGTCATCAAGCCAAAATCCCACTCACACGCCGCCATTTGCAAGTTTAAAGTTGACTCATCCTAAATGCTGACTTCATACCAATCCTCCAAAAGCTGACAAAAAGCAACATGGCAGGTATTTCGGATTTCCCATTTGAGATGACACCTGTATCGGTGACCCTCACCATTTGTAACATAATAGATTAGAGGGACAGGTTAAGTGCTTTGGAATTCAGAGTAAAAGGAAACTGGGAGAAAGGAGAAGAAGGTTGAGAGCTCCAAAACATAGTTCTCTGTTCTATGGAATTTTTGCTCTCATTATCTGGGAAGTGTTCTTAAAAGTAAGAATAAATAGCAAAGACGCAGCAAAGCTCTGAGGATGCGTTTGCCTGATATTTTTTTCTTTGCTGTTGTGTTTTGTATGTAGTTATAAATACTGTAGATTTTTTGTGATTTTTGCCAAAGTCGTCGTTCTATTTATACATTTTAATGTCTTAAGACAGTTTTTCAATATCACAAAAAGATTTTACTGCATATTTTGCAAAGAAAAAAAAAGCTCACTACCTTTAGCTTGCACATACTTGCAAAGTTAATTAAAAGGCTTTTTGTTTTCAAGGGGATTTTGTAAAATATCCATATAAATAATGTATTTATCTTTGGAATTTGTACATTGCTTTCCCCTTCTTCCTTTTCCTCCCACTCCCGGGTTATTTTATTGTGTACGTTTGCTATGTGAAAAGTGTGTATTTGTTTGGTCACCTACAGTTGTATTAGCTGTTTCAATGTGATTTTTAAACATTTCATTTATAGTTGTTTTTAGTTTTGTTTTAAACCATGCTTCAATTTTTTTTTATTTCCACCCAAAAGCCATTGTCTATTTTTGTATTATTTGTAAGTTAAGAAGTTTTTTCCAATATATGGCAAAAAAAAAAATAGTAGCATATTATTCTTGTAGCATTTAGTTCTGTAGATTAAAAAAATGTATCCTTTGCTTTGGAAGCTTACAAAAAAAAAAAAAAACCCTAATGCTGTTTTACTCTATTAATATGCATGGAATCTCTCCCTTTGGAGTGACGCATTTTGTGCATTGAATTTCGGGGGAGAAACTTCATAGAAATCAATGAACATACTTTCTTTCCTAAGTCTGCTTGTATATTTCCTCTGTCTTTCACATAAATATAAACCAGCAGATTGGATGCCTTAACAATGCAAATCATATTCATTTCACTTGTACATTGTAACTGTGCACCAGAACTGTCAGTCATCACTAACATTCTAAGAAAAAAGAAAAAGAAAAAAGAAAAAAAAAACAAAGAAATGGAAAAGCACAAAAGAACTGTTTTGTTACCTTAAGACAATGTAACTTTTTCTAGTAGAGCAAGAAATTTACAACAATGCTGCAACTGTGCATGCCCCCATATGGATTTTGCAATGGTTTTCACTAGACTGTCAGAGTGCGATTTTTATGGGTTGGGGCGGGTGGGGGAGGGGGGTTGTGGGAGGGAAGGGAGGGGGAGGAAAGCTGATTTTTCAAGGTGAGAAATAATAATAATGATGATTAATAATAATAAAAAAACTGGAAAATGTAAGCAAGGTGGACGCATTGCTTCTCGGTACTCAGAAAAGTTGTCTGAATTCGTGTGGTAAGCGCTGGCCTGAAGATGTATACAATTTAAAGCCATATTTTGTCTGGTGAGCCCCTTAACTGTTTGTGAAGGAATGGTCAGCCGGTGAGGTGTCCGGCTCAGACCCTGACAACAAACGCCACCCATCTGTCAGCCATGTGTAGTGGTTAGAACTTTTCTTGAAAGTCCAAAGAGCCTTTAAAATGTGTATAATTTGTATTCTGTTGCCTCTATTTATATTGATTAGATGAAAAGATGTTCTGGCCCTCTGACCCTCTTTCTTCAACACAAAACTTCTACAAGTAAAAGATGTTCCCCTAAATACAGAATATGGCTTTAAGAGGAAAATGAAATAGAGAATTAAGATTTCAGTTTTGGGGGAAAAATACAGCTTCTGGATGACTGGATTGCCTAACACGCCCTGGCCTCACATTGTACTAGGATGCAGCTTAACGAAGTCATCTCTGAGTCTACTAACCTTTCACCTTCCTATCAAACTTTTTGAATAGACACACACTGTACAGTTCAATTGTTAGAGAACCTAACTACTGTAGAGATTGTTATAATTTTTTTTTTTTTGCAAAAATTCAAGCTGTAAAAACTTTTCAACTTTCACAATATTTAATTAAAGTTACTTCCTGTCTGTGATGGCAGCTTCTAGTTGTGTATTCATTTCAATAGTTCAGATGAGCCAAAGTCCAACATATGTAGAAGGTCTGTGTTTGCAATTACTCAGACCAGTGTTGACACCCAGAGAGAAGAAATCTGGGTAGTCCTGAGACACCCACTCTCTTTCTTTGTAAATCCTTGGGGATTTGCCAATCTGGGAATGCAAATTGCACACGCACAGCGTACTGCTGCCCTCTGGCGGCAGCAGATGGATGCGCACATGTGCACACTGGCCCACAGAGGAGCCAGGAGGAGCCTCAACGATTTTACCAGCCAAGCAGTGCAATCCCCCTATAGTGACTGAATTGTGAGTCCAGGATCTGGCCATTGTAGAATGCCATCCTCCATGCTACGAGTCTGAACCAAGCTCTTCACATACAGCTGCTAATTAGTCCCAGTGAGCCTTCTGGTCAATTAGTTATGTGCCCTGGCTCATTGATGAGGAGCCATGTGTGAACTCAGAAGCTTCTATGATCTACAGCTTTAGATCCCTTGTGGATAAGACACTCTGCTGGATAAAACCAACCAAATCTGGAGTCAAACGTTCCCCAAACACCCAGTAGGCACCTTCTCCTGTTAAATGGTTTCACTTTAAATTCTATCAAAACCATGAGTCTTTCCAGTTGTCCGCCCAATGCTTTCCCTGCTTTTGCAATTGTTGGATATGATAAGGTTAATGATGCTTGTAAAAGGCCTCAAAAACTTAGCAAATAAGCCATAGACCACAGAAACTTGATGACCAGAGCTAATAGGCCATCACACAACCACCATCTCGATCATTTGTGGTGGGCATCGTTGATACACTTTTGCTCTAGAATAGAGCCCAACTGGAAGTAATGAAAGAGTGTAATGAACAAGTTAATAAGTAGAGAAGCTATTGTCATTTTCTTAAAAAGGAAATACATGTTGCTTAGTTTGGTCATTTAGTATACATTTTCTTTTGTTTTTGGAATTCTGTATTAGATACACATCCCTGTATTCGATACAGAAGGTAAAAAAAAAAAAAAAATTAACAAGAGGCCCCTGCCCCCAGAACACTCACAGTCTCAGAAAAGACAAATCTATGCCCATCAAAGCAGTTTAGAAAGTTGAGAGTGACAGACACATGCGTGTCACACTGCCCCACCGTAGAAAACAGACATCTACACCTCTACACACTGGCCTCCACTTTCCTTAAGGCCTATTTCTTGCAAGCATTCATTCACTCATCCATTCACATACACTGTGAAGATTTACTATGCACCTGGCACTGGGTGAGGTGTGATAGATTCCACAGTCAGAGCAGTGATGCTGGTCCTGCCCTCATGGAGCTTATAGTTGAGTGGGAAACAGATGTTAAGCCACTACACAAGTCCATACTAACAAACGCACAATGACAATGAAGAAAAAGTCCAGAGTGCTCTGGAAGTATATTACAGTGGGATCTGACTTAACCTGAAGGGCTGGGGAAGGTTTCTAGAGAAAGTGACATTTCAGAGGAAATGTGACGGATTAGGTAACCAGGTTAGGGCAGGCACCTTAGGTAGAGGGAATGAAGGCACTTGTAAGGATGTGAGCTTTGGGGATGGATCTGTGCATTCAGAAACAGAAAGGCTCTGGGACTAGAGTGTGCAGATGTGAGGAGGACACTGCAGAACTTGGAAAGTTCGATTCACAACACATACCGAGCACTGATGTATGCTGCTTGGCACTGTACTAGATGCTACGATACACAGGGAAACCAGTCATACTTCCTGCCCATTGGGCCCAAGTCTCAGCTCAGCTTGGCACATAAATTCACAGCCCTGTGTTTGCTGGTAAAGCAAGAGGGGGTGAGCTGGGGTAAAAGCAGGGAGCACCTTGCTTGCTCTAGGCAGTTGCCCCCACATGGGAATGTGGGCCCAGTGAGGTCCATCTTTCATTTTTCAAGAATGCTATATATATTATTGGATTTTTTTTTTGGTGTGAAATTTTCATTTTTTAAAAATGTTGTCATCTAATCCAAAAATAGTGTTTTAAAAACACTTCATTGGGCATACAAAATCCATGAGCCTCAAGAATGTTAGTTTGGGACTTCTGGCCAAAAGACAAGTTACTAAAGGAGATGTTTACACAGGCTGACATGAGGGTCATAGTGATCTGCCCTATCCATGGAGATCAAGGAACACTGCAAAGAGGGAATGCCTGAGCGGTGTGAATAGGAGCTCTCTGAGCAGATAAAGGCAAGTAGACCATGGAAGGCCATGGTCAGTGCCTTTGGCTATATGAGAAAAAAATAACTAAAATTAATGCAAAGTAATGGGAATATGGGAAAATGGAATATGTAATTGGGAAAAAAAATCTGTATATTCTGCAGCGGCCACATTCAATGTGAAAATGTATGCATCATTCTCCCCCCATCTCCTTTTGCCTTGCAGAAAGACTCCCACAAGTGAATTCACTTTTAGGTAGACTTCTAGAGAAGTAAAGTCTCTCCAACACCCCATGCTCAGGACTGTGCCTGCCTTAGCATGCTTCATATCACACACTTTCTCAAGACTGTTGCTGCTAGAATTATTACCCTCTGTCTCCAAAATCATCAATTTCTCCTTACTCAGAAGTACTTTCTTATCAGCCCACAATCCGATCCCATTTTAAAGGAAAGAAAAGAACTATTTGACCTCACTTTGGTTTCAATGTGCCGCCTTTCCACTTCCTGTTATAGCAAGTGCCCTCAGAGGATTTGTCGGAGTCTGTTGTCTTTCCTCCTTCATTTCTCTTCTTTTGCTCTCCATGTGACAACGGATGTTTACTGTAACCATGAGTGGTGGTGAGTCGCAGACGTTGCAAGCAGGGATCAAACATATATTTCCCTGGTTGCCACATAAGGAATGAGTTGAAGAGAGGCAGAGGGGAAATGGAGGGTAACTAAGAGGCCGGTGCACATTCAAGGCAAAAAATGAATAGCTTGGACCAAGAGAACAGAAAGAAAGAAAATAGATAGGATTAGAAGTATTGAGCATTGTGATTGTAGTCAACAATGGTGTTATCATATACTTGAAAGTTGCTGACAGAGTAGATCTTATTTGTTCCTACCACAGAAGGAAATGATAATTATGTGACGGGATGAAGGTGTTAGCTAACACTATGGTAGTGATCACATTGCAAGATATAAATGTGGCACCTCAAGCCATTGTACACTGTGTAATTTGAACTTACGCAACGGTTTATGTCAAATATACTCAATAATTTTAAAAAATGGAGAAATACTTAGCGAGAGAGAACCACCAGGATTTGGCAACCGATGCAATGTGGGGATTGAGGGAGGAAAAAAGTCAAGATCAAACTCCATTTTCTGACTGGGGCAACTACTATTAAAGATATAGTTGATTTCTTGGGGTGGTTTCTTTGCTATAAAGCTGTGGAGCTGGGTGGTGAAATCCCTTCCTATTGTTCCGTGTGCTTTCCTTCCCTCTCCCAGCCATGATCTTCTCCAGAGGCTTCTATATTTACATTAGGAATGAAATTCAGTTTCCGGAACTGGAAATATTTTGTTACTTTTTTTTTTTTTTTAACTTAAGCATCAAGCAGTTGTATCTCTTTTCTCTGGAGAATTATGCTGCAGTGGGACCGATTTTTATCTACTTGGCATACTTTTTTCCCACCGATTGTAGAATTTCCACATTCTATATTAAGAATGAAAGTTCTGAACCCTGGAATGAACCACAGGCTTGAGGTCGGCTTTCTGCAGGAAATGTCTTGCACAGGGAATTGGGCTAGAAGGAGAATCTAGTACTCCAGAAAGGAGCTGACCAAATGTCAACAAAAAGGAGGGAGTCCCATTGAAGTTGATTTGCTCCATAGGATAGATTTGGGTGGGATCCTGGCAAGGATGGTAGCAGCCATAAGATGAAAGAATGCAAAGGGAAAGGAATTAGAACCGGGCAGTAGCCATGGCTTTCTGTAACATAGGTGTTCATTCAAGATATTCTTACTAAGGGCTTTCTTTGTGTCAGGCACTGTGCTAAGGATTGGGGTGTGATTGTGTCTTAAATAGACAC